TGCTTCTAAAGATCTTAATCAAGGCAGGTAATACGGGCCTGAGCCAGCGGAGGGATGAAAAGAATTGGGAGAGGTTAATTACCCAGTACAACGCTCAAGGACTAGAGTTGGAAAGAAGAGGATTCAGCTTCTAATTTCCACTCTGTTCAAGAGATTAAGAAATTCAAATCAAATTACTAAAACAAGGTCAGGAACCTTCAATGAAGAGGGCTGGACCTGATTAATTATTTAGTGTAATGACGAAAACTGTGGCCTGAATTACCAAAACATAATGAAAACACAAAAGTACACAAATTTATAAACTCAAAAAATTTTTAATTGCACCCTTTAACCCAGTAACTCCACTGCTAGGAATGTATGCCACTCATAAACATGAAGAATTACTCAAAAATCTATGTTCAAACATCTTCAGTGAAGCATCACCCTAGCAAGTTACATACAGTACAACATATTTAATATAACCCCATTTAGTTCTGAGTATCTAAGGGACAAATACATATTCATGCATATATACACACACACACACACACACACGTACGCACACAGAAAATATGCTCAGAAAATTTATGGAAGCACATTTAAGAAAATGTTAACCAGGATGGACTCTGCCAAGCAGGCGAAGAGTCCTGAGGCTAACTTAAAACCTTCACTGTTTGAATTTATCACAAAGCCAGTATTACTTAATTTTATTTTACTTAAAGAGACAAAGTTGCTAGTTGATGCACCTATTTATAAAAACAGAAGGTGATATGCACACTAGGAAGGAGAGAAGGAACAAGATTATTTGAGATAACTTGCAACTTTGATTCTATAGAAACACTCACATTTATGAGGGACAGAAAGCTTAAACTCCAGCACAATTACAACAGATAAGTTAAAAAAACACTCCCTGTGATATAACAGCAAACAGTGACTGCCTTCAGAATATGTATTTTTTTTCCTTTTTTCATAGGTATGTTTTGAATAATCCACTAAAAAGTTCAGACACGAAAAAACTGGTACTTCCACTAGATTAGATAAGGGTAAAATTTTTCAAAGTAAGGATCTAACCGATGTTTGTCATTCTTTCCTCTTTCACATCCCTGCCTTCCATTCACTGGGATAGCAAATAACAACTCATTCACAATTTACCATGTACCAGACTATGCTCGAGCTTGACATAGATTATCTCATCTAATCTTCGAAACAATCCTATAAAACAGGTATTATATGTCTGTTTAAAGATGAGTGTGGAAGATTTTATTTTGTAAAGATGGTAGCTTCTAGATATCCTATTCCAATGCCCATCTTACTACGTGTCTTTGCCATTCCTCTATCAACGAGTGGGATCTATGTTCTCTCTCCTCAAATGTGAGGGATGTGGAAGTGATATCATGACACTTCTGAGGCTCGATCAGGGAAGGTAACACTGCTTCCGCCTCCTGCTCCTTGGATGTTCACCCTCAGAACCCAACTGCCACGTTGTGAGGAAGCCCAAGCCATGTGGAAACCGTGCGTAGTGTTCTGGCTGGTAGCCCAAGTTAAGATCCCCATGGACAGCCAGCATCAATTGCCAGACCTGTGAGTGAGGAAACTTCTGAGATGATTCCAGCTCCAGCCACCACCTGACTGCAACTGCACAAGAGACTCCAAGTGAGACCCACCTTGTTGAGTCCAGGCAATCCACAGAATGTGAATAATATGAATAATGATTGCTGTTATTTTAACCCAGTAAGTTGGAGTGATTTGTTACACAGCAATAGAGAACCAGATGAAAACCAGCATAAGAAGAGAAAGGGGGCTGGCCCCGTGGCCGAGTGGTTAAGTTCGCGTGCTCCGCTCCAGGCGGCCCAGTGCTTCGTTGGTTCGAATCCTGGGTGCGGACATGGCACTGCTCATCAAGCCACGCTGAGGCAGCGTCCCACATGCCACAACTAGAAGGACCCACAACGAAGAATATACAACTATGTACTGGGGGGCTTTGGGGAGAAAAAGGAAACAAATAAAATCTTTAAAAAAAAAAAAAAAGAAGAAGAAGAAGAGAAAGGTCAGTAACCTGCTACAGGCTGCCATGTCTGCACGGCTCCAAAGCTCATGCTCTTAACAACTACATTGTGTTACTCCTTGCTCCCCACTACTGCAAATGATGCAAAACGAAAAGGAGAAGGTCAGGAATCATCCACAGAATGATCGATACATCCCTAAACACTTGGGCACTGCCTAGAAAACAAATTAGAAAATACACCTAGAAAACCCTAAAATAAAGACCAACATGATAATCTAGCATTCCAGCCTCATTCTTTGACACCAAGCCATGAGTTCAATTTCACCATTACTCACTTCTCCTATTCATTCCACTTTCACAACTCTGTCTTTGCGACTGCCTCTTCGGGAATATTCTCTCCATGTTAAATATTTGTTAAGTATTTAATTAATGATCAGGACTTAGACCTGGGGAACAATAGGTTACACCAGTTCTCAGACTGGATTTTAAGGTATAGGAAAGATGAAGATGTACAACTAACCCAAGTAATTGAAAACGAATAAAACAGCCAAGTAAAAGCACATATCAAGGGGGCTGGCCCCATGGCCTAGTGGTTAAGTTTGGCACACTCTGCTTCAGTGGCCCTGGTTCACATCCCAGAGGCGGACCTACACCACTCATCAGCCATGCTGTGGCAGTAACCCACATCCAAAATAGAGGGAGATTAGCACAGATGTTACCTCAGGGCAAATCTTCCTCAGCACAAAAAAAAGAAGAAGAACATATCAAATAATACCTACTATATTAAAAAATGTTTAAAAGATATAAATAGTAAAATGTGAGTGTTTATAAATGTTTACAGATATAATGCTAACATTAGTGTTTAAAAAGGGGGATAGATACACCTTTATATATGCATATATAAAAATGTATAGGGGTCAGCTGTGTGACCGAGTGGTTAAGTTCGTGTGCTCCACTTCAGCGGCCCAGGGTTTCACCAGTTCGGATCCTGGGCGTGTACATGGCACTGCTCATCAGGCCATGTTGAGGCGGCGTCCCACATGCCACAACTAGAAGGACCCACAACTAAAAAAAATATACAACTATGTACTGGGTGGATTTGGGGAGAAAAAGTAGGGGGAAAAAAGGTAAGATTGGCTACAGTTGTTAGCTCAGGTGCCAATCTTTAAAAAAAAAATGTATAGATACATGCTTCTATATACATACATATACAGAGAAACATAGGAAACTGGTAAGAGCGGTTGCCTCTAGAGGAGGGGCTTGAAGGGTCTAAGAGGCAAAGGTGAATAAATGGAACGTCAAACTATCAGACCTAACTTCACCAAAACTGAGACATGCTGACACCGGGCACTCTAGACAGAAGGCACTGACCGGGACACAACATCACCTCTGACGTACTCCTAACAAAAAATGCTTAAGTTAAAGCTCATCTTGAGGAAATAATCAGACAAATCCAAATTGAGAGACATTCTGCAAAACACGTGGTCTGGATTCTTGAAAAATGTTGACACAAAAGGCAGAACACTGTGCCAGATTAAAGGAGACCAAAGAGATATGACAACAAAATGCAACTTGTGATTTTTGACTAGATTCTGGAAAAAATAAAACACTTCTAAGGACATTATTGGGATAACTGGGAAAGTGTGAAATACAGACTGCATGTTGGATGAAAGTATTGTATCAACACGCTATTTGTACTGTGATTATTTAGGAGAATGTCCTTGTTCTTAGTAGATATTGCTGAATTATTAGTGGTGAAATGTCATGATGTCTACAACTACCTCTCAAAAGATTCAAGGAAAATAAATAAATACATAATTTAGAGAGAGAGAAAATGCCAGAGTGCAAGTGAGCAAGCACACAAACAAAAGGCATAATGGTACATCGAGGTGAAGGGTTTATAAACATTCAATGAACTCTTCTTGCAACTTTTCTGCAGATGCAAAAATTTTCACAATAAATAGCTGGGAAGGAAAAAAAGCACACAGAAAAACTATGTGTATATAAGTCCACATTATAAGTAAAAGTGTAAGCCTTTGTAGACCCTGTATTCTAACTACAGCTTTGGGTGTGTTAATTTAAAAGATAAACATGTAAATAATATCCAACAAAAGAAAATAAGAATGCCTTGTAATGAGTGAATGAGATGAATTAGTTATTTTAAATATCTTTGTTACACAATTTATGCCACTTACAATTACCAATTGGCAATTAGGATACAATGCAAATTTAAAATTATAACTACACCTAACATAATTTAATCTTTTCACAGCAAAGGAGGTAGGTATTTTTCTGCACCTCTGGCTCACAACCACTAATGACAATTACATCTGTAACAGTAATGCAAAAAAAAAAAGCCCATTCTAGTTGGTTGCACTTGGATTGTCCACAATCCACAGATCCAAGCACAGGTAAATGTTTTCCCCGTTACATTTTCTGGGGTGACTACCTCATTTCCCATTTCTGAGCAATACTCTCATTCGCTACAAGGTTGTTTCAAAATTCCTACACAAATAGTTCCGATAAATATCGCTTGATCCAAAAATAAAATAAAATAAAATACACAGCCCAGCTTTCCTCTCAATTTTTCACTAAACCGATGTCACTAAAAGGCAGGAAGCTCCACTGTAATCGCTCACATTACTGCCGAACGTTCAAGAAAAGAATCTGAGGTTCATTCCAATGCAAAAAGAAAATCTCACTCAACTCCCAAAACTCTAACCCAACCTGGCACTAAAATGTGCCTCAGCGGGACTCGGGTCGCCGCTTTGAGACCCCGCTGCCCCCACAGCAGCCCTGAGCCCCTTGAGCTGCCCGGGGGGCGCCGGCTTCCGACAGCCCAGGAAGGTTCGGGGTCTCCACACGGGGCCCCTCCCCAGGCCCGCCTAGTGGCCGCAGAAGGGCGACGAGGCCCAGCCTTCAAGGCCCTCCTGGCCCCTCCGCCACCCCCCGACGCTCAGCCCCTCCGGCCCGCGCCACTCGCCCTCGCGTCCCCGCCCCTCCCCGCCCCACTCACTCTTCATCCTGGATGCGGAAGCCGGCGACAACCCCTTGCGGACAGTGGACGGAGAAGAAAGGGGCAGGAAGGGTGACCCCCTGGCTTCCACTCCTCTGAGGCAGGGGCCCGAACGAGGACCTCCGCGGTGGTCCCACGACGGAGAGCGTTAGGATCCGGCCGCCATGTTGTATCCCTGTCACCTTAGCAACCGTCTGGTCCTCAAAGCCCCGAGGCCGCCATCTGCGCGTGCGCAAAACGCCCCGTCTGCGTCCGCCAGCCTTACGTGTACGCGTGCGCAGTGTGTCCCGCCTCCTCAGTCTGGTTGCTAAGCGATCTCCGTCGCCGCTTTAAGTAAGCAATTCCCCGCCTTCGAGCGTAGATGACCTTCGCCCGGATCGCTATTCCAAGTCGTCCTGCGAACTTAGTGATTTAGGGTCTAAAGCCCAGACGACAGCCTCGAGCTGTAACTAGGCTGGGGATGCACTAAGTAATTGTCAATTGATTCCTGTTCTTTGCAGTCTCATCCTACAATTGAGCGTCTACTACCTACTTTAGTACATATCTATTTGTAAGTTTTTCTTTTTAATTCAACAAACATTTATTGAGCGCCAGGCACTTTTGCAGGCATTGAGGAGCTGGAGGAGAACAGTGTGGACAGAGTCCCTGACTTCTCGAAACTTACATTCTACCGTAACGTTGAAGGAATGAATATCTGAATGAAGTATGTGCACATATGACAACTGAGAAAGAAGTAGCCTAGCCCTCAAGGAACGGTCAACGCAATAAAAATAACATACCAACGCATAGCATTTTATGACGCTCATTGTCATTTATTTGCTTATTTCATGCCCACAACTACTCCATAAGGTCAGGCATCCCTGTTTTTTCCTATTGGTTTTTGAAAATAAAGAAGGAAAATGTGTCTATTTAAAAAAAATCAAGGGCCCAGCCCGTGGCCTAGGGGTTAAGTTTGGTGCACTTGGCCTCCGCAGCTTGGGTTTGCTTCCCAGGTATGTGGCCTTACACCACTATCAGTGGTGTGGGGCTGTGACCCACATACAAAACACAGGAAGACTGGCACAGGTGTTACTTCACGATGAATCTTCCTCACTAAAAAGAAAAACAAAATCAAAGCATAGAACTTTATAAAGCAAAATTTTTAATGATCCCTTCAAAGCATTTCCATCCTTCTCACTCCTCACCCTCCCCAGAGTTAACCACTGGCAAAAATTTGGTGGCATCTTTTCTGAATTTCTGTGTTTGAATTTGGACAGATTTTCCCCATAATTGAAAATCAGATATTTTCCCATAATTTGCTCTTTTTCATTTAATAAATCATGATCATCTTTTAATATTAGCACATATAAAGCTACCCTATGCTTTTTAACTGCTGCATAATATTCCATGGTATGGATATACTCTCATTTTTTTAACCATTTCCCTATTAATGTTTCCTATTTTTGCAATTACAAACAATACTTGAGAAAATATCCTTGTGCATATCTTTGAACACATATGAGACTGTTTCTGTAGGAATTGAGGAGTTAAAAGACATCTACAATTTAAATATGGACTGACATTAAATCACCCTCCAGGGGCCGGCCTGGTGGCACAGCAGTTAAGTGCACACGTTCCGCTTCAGCAGCCTGGGTTCACTGGTTTGGATCCCGGGTATAGACATGGTACCACTTGGCAGGCCATGCTGTGGTAGAGGAAAATGGGCATGGATGTTAGCTCAGGGCCAGTCTTCCTCAGCAAAAAGAGGAGGATTGGCAGCAGTTAGCTCAGGGCTAATCTTCCTCAAAAAAAAAAAAAATCACTCACGGCCTAATGGTTAAGTTCAGGTGTTCTGCTTTGGTGGCTCAGGGTTTCCCTGTTTCGGATCCTGGGTGCAGACATGGTACCACTCATCAGGCCACAGTGAGGTGGGATCCCACATGCCACAACTAGAAAGACACACAACTAAAATATACAACTGTGTACTGGCAGGATTTGGGGAGAAAAAGCAGGAAAAAAAATTTTGGCAATGGTTGTTAGATGCCAATCTTTAAAAAAACTAAAATAAAATAAATCACTCTCCGAAAACGCTGTACCAATACATTCAGGGATCTATACATGAATTCTCTTCTCCTCACACTTGCACAGACACAGGATATTATCTCCTAAGATTAAGAAGCCACTCAGGAAAAGAGTGAAACATAACATGAAATTTTTTATTTCGTTATGTTTCTCAGCCCCCCTCCCTTGTACTCCCTCCAGGACGGGATTCATCACTCCTCCTTTTGCAGGAAGCTTCCTCCTCTCTAAGCCCAGCACAGAGCTCTCCCCTACAAATGAGCCCTTAACATTTCCAAAGCTGGCATGACCATCTTTCACCCAGACTTACCATCCACAGATCCCATCCCAGCCAAAGGCGAAACCATCCGCCCAGGTGCATTCCAGCCCCGGCACTTCCTTCCTCCTCGCCACACCCCCCCTCCCCCACCCTGCCCCTCGGAACATCCCTCACTTTCCTGCGCACCCCTCCTCCTTTCTCTGCCCACCTCACCTCTCGCTGGTCCCAGCCTTCTCCTTCTAGCCCCACAGCGACCAAGCCTCCCCAAGTGCCTGTCGTTTACAGGAGAAATCCAGATTTCTGACCCCATATACAATCTCCCTCCACCTGAGATCGTCAGCCCCTAACCCTTCACCCACCCCATCTTTCTGCCTTCTCCTCCTCTCATACGTTTGTGCCCAAACTGGTTTTCGTTTAGAAGGGTATTTTTTCCTTCTCAAATAATGTTTTATATATATATATATCATTAGCATGATTCGAAAATAATAAAAGCAGAATTCAGCGAAAATCCTCCCACCACCCCTCTGCCCCCAGTTCCTCTCCCCAGAGGGTAGGCAACATGTGTTATATATATATTTTTTTCTTTTTCTTACACAAATGGTAGCATAGTATGACTCTGTTCTGCATTTTTCAGTTTTCACAACTAGAAAGACACACAACTAAAATATACAACTGTGTACTGGCAGGATTTGGGGAGAAAAAGCAGGAAAAAAAATGTAACACTTCAACTTCAATTTAACTTAACACTTCACCTTGCAGATTTTCCCCTACTGGTACACAAAGAGCCTCTTTATTTGATTTGATGGCTGTTCTGTTTCATGGTTGTACCATCCCTTATTTAACCAGTCCCCTACTGATTGACATCTAGGTTGTTTCTAATAGTCTGATCTTTCAAACATTGCTGCAGTGACCAATCCTGTAAATACATCATTTCCTGTATGTTCACATGTACCCAGAGGAGAAATTCCTATAGTAGAGCTGCTGAGTCAGAATATCTACTTCGATATTTTTTTACTTCTTTTTAAAAAATTGAGTCAAAATTCACATAACATATAATTAACCATTTTAAAGTGTGACGTTTAGTACATTCACAATGTTGTGCAACCATCACCTCTGTCTAAATATTTTCATCGCCCCAAAAGGAAACCCCATACCCATTAAGCAGTCTCAAAAACATGGTGCTGAGTGAAAGAAGCCATACGCTAAAGGCCACATATTTTATGATTATATTTATAGGAAATGTCCAGAATAGGCAAATCCATTGAGACAGAAAGATTAGCTGCCAGGGGCTGGAGGAATGGGGGTGATTGCTAACAGGTACGGGGCTTCTTTTTGGGGTGTTGACATTGTTTTGGAATTAGACAGTGGTGATGGGTGCCCAACTTTATAAGTCTACTAAAAACCACTGAAGTGTATGTATTAAATTGTTGGAATGGTAGGTATGTGAATTTTACCTCAAAATAAATTGGATAAAACCAAAATTTGATTATTGCTGGTATTATTTTTGTTGATGGTGCTGTCTTTGTTGGCTCTGAAAAGCCACATTTAATCTCTCCAGACCACTGGGATTTGATCTCTCCCTTCTTATCTCCTTGTGGTCTTTCCTGTTATTTGGGGAGCTGTCTCCATGTCACACTTATCTTTCTCTCACTGTCTCTTTCACGGCCCTTTCTTCTAATCAGGTAGGTTCTAAGCTCTGTGGGCTGCCCACCTGTCTCTTATCTCCCTGCAGGCAGAGCATGTTACCAGATAGTCATTGAGTACCTGTTAAAAAGGTGAACAGCTGAATGCATTTAGCACGTGAGCCCCGGCCTCGTTATTTCTGATCACCACTGGCTGATGGATTTTCTGCTCACCTTCTCGGTGGACAAATGGTTCTTGGTAGTGAAATCGTAGAGACCAGGTAGATCCTGATCCTGTGGAGGAGTTAGAGCAAGGTGCCCCCTGGAGGTAGACACAGCCTTGCTGTGCTTACCCAGGTGAGCAGGGGCTACTGGACTTCAGCCAGCACCTGCCTTCTTACCTGGCACCCTGGTGTGCAACCAGCACATTGTATGGGAAGCCCTGGGACAGAGGGAGGGGAAGGGCTTCCAGAATGGAAGATGAAAGGATGCTAACAGGGCACCTTAGAAGGAAGACAAGAAGGGAATTTGTGAGAGATTTTGCTTAGAGCAGTGGTCCTCGAACATTATCATGCACAGAAGTCACCCACCCTCAGGTGATTCTGGCTTGTTAAACCCAGATGGCAGGGCCCCTCCCTCAAAGTTTCTGAATCTGTAATTCTGGGGTGGAGGTTGAGATTTTGCATCTGTAACAGGATCCCAGGTGATGATGCTGCTGCACCAGTGACCATGTTTTGAGAGCCGCTGGCCTAGATAATTCCTTATTCTTTCTTTAATTCTAAATAGACTAGGAAATGCTACTTCAAACCGAAAAAGCAATTGCTGGGGAAGTTCTCTCCTTACAGTCAACACTCTCAAACACCACACAGAGGGGTCAGCCTTCTTGAGTTTTAGTTATGTGGCCTCCTCACCTGCTTCCCTGGACCACTCATGCCCTAAAGGACAAGCAGAAGAATTGACAGATGAGAAACAATAGGCTGTGAACTCCTCCAGGGAGGGGCCTCACCTCACACTCAGTGCCAGCAGCCAGGTGTATATTACATGCCCAAGGGATGATTGTGACATGGACCCAGCTTAGAGCATCTTAGAGCTCCACTTTTAAAACTCTGCATGAATACTACCTAATTATAGCTACTTGAGCTTTTTGACTCATTCCAGAACCGTTCCTCAGACAGTCATCCCATCCCCTAGTATTAGCTTTTCCCTATCTTCTGATGTCAAGAGATTCAGCCATGAGGCTATGTTTAGCAGACAATCAG